TTGCACATTTCCGCATGATGATTAATATTTCATTTAGGCGCAGTAAGTTGAATGACAGGGCAATTTATGGAAGAAAATGAAGAACATGCGCAAGTCGTTTTAATGTGGATGGAACACCGAGAAACTCATCAACTCTTCGGTTTACAGAAGTACGATGACTGAATTTGTTGTAGGAGGGGTCGAAATGGCTTTTGCCTTCAGATACATTTCCCCATACTCCATCTCTGAAGCATCTTTACAAACCCACCAAATAAGACGTTTGCAACACGCCTGAACATGTCAATATCTGGATGGACTATCGCATGACATTTGCCCATGTTGCAATTAAGTAAAATGGTCCGAGAGGCAAGGATCAATAAAAGGAGCGGAACATCGTCTACTTCAAAGTACTGACTTCGTCACGTTTCTCTTCCATTCGAATCGCTTTACAGAAGAAACAATGTCTACGGAACATTTCCCATGACTGCAAATTTACCGGATTATATTTGATCCTGTCTTCTGATTAATGACGATGCATTCGAAAACCTGTGACGGCTGACAGGGTGGAGCAATCACGTGGAGCTTAAAACACCGATTTCTCTCATGACATTTCGCTCATTTTAAACGTACATTTGATTTCGTTAGCTCAAATGTTCAACCTGATGTTATATTTGCGTAGCTTATCCACGCAGGTCATTTCAGCCACACATCCATGCATGAAGCAGCCAATCGTGAAGGTGTTAAGATATAGAAAAGGAAGGTAAGAAGGGACAGTGGAAAAAGATGAAGATGAAAAATAATTGAAAGTGAGAGCTCTAGAGCCTAGCCCCACCTGATGTCACAGTCTGGCACATGGAGAAAAGTGGGCATCATGCATATCCCCATGCGTCTGCGCCTGCTTCCACTCCGATTACGCGACAACCCCTTCCCCCCACCATGGCACAACGTCCACACCCTAGTCACCCACCTGTGTTTACTTTGTCATCAAGTGCAATGGGTATGTGGACGGTTCATTCCAACAACTTGCCTTTTCCTACCCATTTTTCACATACCTCTACAAAATAGGTCATCTGTCATCATTCTGAACATTCGTTAAAGTTGCAACCAGCATAATATTTACTTAGGCCTCGATGAGGGTGAACACTTTTAATGTAGAGGCTACATGATTGGAACATGCATAATCGCGATGCACTAATCCTCCTTCAGAAAGTTATTATAGCAACGAAATCATAAAACGCAGACAGGATAAAGGAAGAGGCTAACAGCTGGGACTGTCTGACATTCCTGCTTCGTGCATAACTCTTCATCTCATTCCCCTCCCCCATAGGCTATAATCACGCAATGGCAGGCCTTCAATATGCTGCTAACCAACATAAAGTGAAGGCCATAAAGACGTGAGGGTTGGACACTTCTCTTTCACCAGCTGCGGTTAGCTGGCAGTCGATTGTTTATGCGCTATGCACCTCATGTATCACCCATACAGACTTTGTCGCCTGTTTTACTTTGGGGTGAACACGTGACAGGATTTGAGCTCCCACACATTAATGCCAATTCATAATTAACAACCTGAAAAGACTGGCAATCACATGTGTGTGTGTGAGTGGGTAGATTTAATCAACTCGACTTTCTAAACAATACCTCCAGCTGAACCGGAACCATTGTTTATCTGAGGGTGGCGTATTTTATATTATTCCGAATAGCGGGTAATCCTACTGGGCAGTCACACGGCATGGCCATGAAAAGCTATTTGCAGAAAATAAAACAGATTTCATTAATTCTAATGCAGTTATTGTTATTTTACGCTTGGAAGAGACTAACAACCACTACTGTAAAACTTACGTGCAGCTGTACAATCGCAAAAGGGAACAAATCTGGCGTTGAACCGAAAAGGCAACTCATCTGTGGTAGCAGCTCTTCTTATCGTTAGTGCATAAATTCTACCACTGTTGTTACAAAATGCCCATGTGAAGCCATTTTAACCGTTTCTTTCAAAACATAATTGTTTGTTACTAGCCGAACGAATAACAAGAAGAGGAACTTCTAAGTGACAAGTGAGTGAATTAAGTCAAGCTCGGTGACTGGGAAGGTGTCATTAAGCCTCGTGAAGGGAAAGGAAGGCAAAGGAGCAAGAAGAGAAGGAGGAGGGAGACAAGTTCTAATTCCTTTACACACGCAAAACGATGAATTGACTGGCGTTGGTGCTTTGTAAGTGGTTACGCAAGAACCGAGTACTTTGTGGCAGTCGAGACAGAAAAGCGAACATGGGATGGTTGGAGATGACACTGAAGTAAAGAAAAGAGCAGAGAATGAAAAAGAGAGTTTGCTTCAGATTGAAGAATGTGCTTAACTATGCAGGTGATCCAGTCTCCGCGGGTTGCACTTCCTATCTACAGCGTGTCGTTAGTTGTGTGCTAGTAACATTCCAGTCTTTCTGTCGTGTAGGTTTTGCCACACCAGGTTGGCATTTCATGCCAATAAGTCTCGTTCCTTTTCTATTAAAGTTAGTAGTGCTAAATAAGGCAAATAAAATGATGAATGGACATAATCACGTTGGCTAAATACTCCAGAAGGCGGCCTTCTGCAGTAGGTGACTGTATTTGCGAGGGTTTAGAAAAGGATTACCACCAAAATTTCACCGTCAACAATTTGTCTGTAAGCTAAACTATTTACTATATGATAAGGGGACATAGGATATCACTCCTTCTTTGCTTTTTCGGGGTAGCTACTTCCACGGAAGTGTAATGCTTGAACGAATAAGGTCAGTGTGAAATATCTGCTTGCTCCAAGATGAGGTCTTCTCGAATGCTGTTTGTTATACGGGATTGGCAGTGCCTTTACTTCCAATATGCTGCCCCTGCTACAAACTCGCCACATCATCTCTGCTCATGAATTTTACCACCGTTAAGGCAAAATAATGACTATAGGGGCCTCTAACTATGTTCGAACTTTCAACAGTACCTAATTATGAGGACTCACCAAAGTTGCAATGCAGTTCCCCAGAGGTGCTGTTCTACAAGACAGTAACAGCCCTCCTCCCAAATAATTACGCCCTCCTGTATCTTATGAAAATAATTTGGCCTTTATAACAACAATTTCCCCTGGTTTACATTATCAAGTAGGGTTGCTAACTTGTATGCAGTAAGCGAACTAATTAAAGAAGGAGTTGTATCAGCCTAACGAAGGGATGGACAGTTAGAGGTAAGTCCGAGATGCCACACTATAAAGACGAAAGTACAGACTGTGTTGAGTTAAGTGTTTACATAGCTACCATGTCACTATTCGCTGTCGGTCACAGTAACTGGGGTACTTCTGTCAAATAAATACCAGCGAGTTAGGCTAGGTGGTTGCCAAAATTTTAATTTGGCTCAGGCGACATTTAACTCCGCCATCGGTAATGCTTCTCGTCAATTCCATCAAAATTTGGGTTCTTGCTTACTTACACCTGCCCTCTTTGTAAACAGCATTGGGGAAGGCACTTGCTGATTTCGCATAGCTCAGGACTGTTTGATGCTCCAGATTGGCATGAGGCTCTTCACAGGAAAGCATGTGTGAAGTACAGGCAATATAATGTGGCTCTAAGGAGCTGTAGTTGGCACCTCTTCTTTCTTGCAGCTATGTGATCACTCCACTGCTCATTTAGGTGTTTGGTATGACTACCATCAGCCGAAGGCAGGTTTGAAACTGACTCCATTTGTTTGCACACTGCATCCCTTTCTGGAGGTATCACAGACAGCCACACGGTGAGCGGTTGAACTCATCCACGTCTGGTGATGGCAACGTCAGCACTCACAGTAGATGCCTTACTTCTGTAATGTTATGGCCTGCTAATGGGAAAGAGAAATCCTTGCATCTACACTTTTAAACCGGGTTAGCTTATCATTGCCGCCTGTGACGCGCGGTCGATCTTCACTGAGGTAGTATTAAGTCATGGTAGGAGAGGTCTATTAATTATGAACAGGGAGGCATGAAGGCATTATTTGTGCCAAAACAAAAGTACCAACTTTAGAGACCACGTTCAGGAGACATTAAATTGCCAAGTAAATATTCAGAGTAAACCTCGACTTGGTTCATTTAAATGGTGGCCATTAGCCAGCAGATTTTGTCGAAGGGACGATAATGGAAACGAGGTCATATAAACCGCCATGCACTGCTGTCTGACAGGTAACATTACATGCTCAGCCTTCTGCTCACAAACACTTCGCGTTGCCCCGAGACAAAAGAAGAAGTGATGTGCAGTCAAAATATATGTTGGAGAAGAATAATAGGGCTTGGGGCTTAATGGTGGGTCCCGGAGGCCAGGCTGTCCTTTGCAGAATCAAAGGCGGAGTTCCCGAGCCACCCGTTGCAAATCGAGAGAGTAAAGCAAACAGTTAACGTTTTGCATAAACAACCCACCAGCTCTTCTCTTTTGAGCGAGGTCGCCACTACTCCCTGTGATCAAACTTCAACACCAGGCATCGAAATCGCATGCGATCGGCAACACTACTTGATGTGGAGTTTTATCCAGTATGGGAGCTATAGTGGGGAGGGGAGAATGGGCAGGCCATTAAGCATGTCCATGGCAAATCGCTAGAAGTCTGGCCGAAAATCAGAGTCGTTTACTGACAGGCATCTTCTCTAATCCAGGGCTTCACTTTTATCGTTGGAGGCAGTCATATGTAATTCATTCCCCTGGGTTTAGCTTGCGGCAGTCAGCGATAACTGGTGTCTCTGTTGTTGAGGGCAACAAAAATAATCTCGCAATCTAATACATTCCCTACGTCGACTGCCCAGCACACTGTTCATCTGGCTTTGTCGTCCGAAGCAGGAGGCTTAAAGATAGCGTGATTGATATAATTTTGTCGAAATCTGAGGACTTAGACCAACACACCTCCACTAAAATGCATTCTTGACTTGAAGATCAGTATGGGGCCTCATTACTGGCTTTTCCAAGTACCGGATATGTTTTATGGTCAAAGCATTCATCAAAAATTCCTCTCTCTCCCATAACCCCTTCAGGGAAAACTCAGGCTCATTACCATTCACCGCCCAATGAGTTCATCCATTCGCCTTATTTGTTTGGGCAAATTTGAACAATTTAAGTTAAATATAACCCTACTCTGTATGAGCAACATTCGGAAAGCACGACTAAACATCTTGGACACTACGTTGTAGAGTATCGGGTTGGCAGTGGAATTGAGGTATGCCATCGCCTTGATGGAGGGTATTAGCCAGTAGTCGATGCTTTTTGGTGTGGCAAAGCTGTTGCGCACCACCAAGGTGCGGTATGGAAACCGAAAGACAGCAAAGAGTACAACTACTGCCATCAGCATTTTAACCATCTCTCAAAGGGATGCAAAACAGATTTTGAGCATCAGGATAAATTAGCACTCTGGTTTTGATGGGGGTGTTAGTTCAGTAAACGTTGCTCCATATTTCCGTCATCTGCACAGGTCACGTAGAACAACAGACTGGTTGGCAGATTTGTCAAGGTCCCTCCCTATGATGTTAGCATAAATTCTTGTTGATATGATGCAAAACAAAGTTTAGCCTGCTGGACAAGATAAAAATCTCATGTATCATGCTAATAAAGCCTTGTCAATTGTCCGAATATCTTTAAAAGCACATTCCCGCTTCTATAGTGTTATAGACCTACTTTAACACACCAGTCGGTTCCTGCTGGATGAAGCAATTTTTTCCTTCGGAAATTTGCAAAAGGTTATACTGACCACATAAATGCTCTTAAACCCAGTTTGGCTGGATTCCAAATGTGTGGAGACTCCTTCTACTTAAAATGCGTTTTAGGGGAGGCTGAGATGGAAGTCTTTCGGCCTCAGATGGAGACAGGAATTTTGCGATCTACCAATCATTTGGAAAGAGCATGATATATTGTCCTGGAAGGTATTTTAAGGACTACAATATTTTTAAATACTGCCTTTTTACGTATATCTACATATTTATCCAAAAGCGCAGCAGCCCTTCTACCTTTCGTCTTCGAAGTGTGTTTAAACACATTGTAGATGTATCCGCCCTGATTTTGATCCGATCAACTTTGCTGTCTCAAGTAGGCGAAATTTGCCCATTCAAACAATAATATACAGGGCAGACAACTTGTATACACGCCTGTCTTCGCGCACGAAATTGCCGACCACTGATCCAGTAGAAAGCAGCCTGTCTTGCCCGTTCCAAAGTATTTAAATTACAGACATCAGGACCACCATGTCCGGCACCTCTGACAACATTTCTGTTACCTTTCATTTCTCTCTGTTCATAGATGGATCTAAGAGTTGTAGAGTGATCTGCTCATACATGGCAAATAGTAGCTTTAGCAGAAGAATGTAAGGCAGGATGAAATGCAAGAGGTGCACTGTGGCGTATCACATTCGCCAAAACTTATAGGTGCAGGTTCGGTAGGTGCCATGGTCATATTCAACTACTGGCATGCCTAGAGTAAAGCATCTCATATGGCCATGCATCTTGCTGCTTAGTTTTAACTCTACGAAATTTATAAGCCTCAAGTTTGTTAGTTGGACCAGACAAAACTATTGAGGACGATTCAGTACTGGGCAGAATTATTCTGGCAGCAAGGCATCGCCTCTGCCTTGCCCACTATTTACAACACTAAGTCAAAAGTATCAGAAGTTAGGGAAATCTCTGCACATTCCTTGAGGGTCGCTAACTGCCACCACTAATGCTGCACCCATGCCCTACCTGAGGAGGATAAGAGTGCCGCTAACAAGAACGCTATAATAGCTATAAAGGCGAGATGGAGGACTGCTATTGGACATTAATGGAGCAGATAGCCAATGCAACAAATTGAGGGGCTGAAGAAGGCAATGAATAAGAAGTGGTCGTCACAGTTTGGATTAGGATGACACCACGTCTTCTCAGGCATCAACTGGCATCCTACTCAAATGCTGTGCCATTAAAATTCTTCCATACTTTTGTGTTACATAGCTTTGCAAAGGAGAAAAATATCATGTCATATTATCACCTTTTTGCTTGCGGAGAACATGAGACAGGGATAGAATTGTGTGCTTAAATGACGTCACCCATTTGCTTGTAATTTGCATCCAGCTGAAGGTTGTCTAAATTCAAGCCTTTGAAAAGCAGTAATTATTTCCACAACAACGTCACTTTGACCTATTATTAAATACAACATAAAATTTTGCGCCACTTTTGAGGATAGGCCTTAAGATTTTGTTAGCGGTTTTAATTTACCTGCCCTAAGATATAGCCACATTTGGGAGGGTATTAAGAAGCATATCAGATTGGTACTGGGATACCAGGTGCGTTGTGACAGACGCAGGAGATTTTTACCCACTTGAGAAGATAGATTGTAGACCAAGGTCATAAAGCACATTTACCTCTTGTCATAATTTCAGCTAATCGTAGCTCCGACATATTTAAATTCTGCCTGTCAGATTGCTGTATCCCGGGATGCAGCGCACATCGACAATGCGGAGCCTTTATATTGTGTTCCTCATTCTTCCCAAAGGACTCACCCCTCGCACACTTTCATATCTACTGCCCTTCCACCTATCGGACGTCCAAGATTGGATGCTTTAATCACTGGCTGAATTCTCACCGAATTGAGTGCTATGGTGTGGGTCAAAAGGGACTGAGATCCCTTACGGACAACTCTACAGCCGCCTTTAAAACGTGTGCAGCATTCAAACAACTCTATCACTGCCATGTCACCGAATGTGTTGTCACCATTTCCCTTCTGCCTTTGGAGCCTTTTTTAGCCACTAGTATTTGTGAATTGTACAGCAAAGCAGTCACCACTACGTGCTTATCACATTTGTTCGAGTAGCTTAATCAATGCAGTAAAATAAAACATAAGAAGATCAACATTTCATTTTGACTATAAAAGGAGATTAGAGTAGGAAAAATGAATACAAACCAAATCTGATACTTTGTTTAAATGAATAAGTAGTTGGGTGGGCGCCCCGGTCTTTGCAAACTACACCTCTGCTCAGCTGCACGAATTTCGTAACAAGACGATAGCCCCGTGGATCTTCTACTAGTCAGTTAAATAAGCGTGTAATACTTTGTCCGACTGTATAACTCGCAGTTTTGATAGCAGGACCACTCAGGGTCTCCACTGTCTTATCTCCGCCAAAAGACTGGCCGGTCGGCAGGCCGGCCGAGATTCTTGCCCATGCCGGTAAGCCAATTTCCTTCTGTAGGTCGACAATACCCATGCTGCCCGACTATTATCTCATCTTCTGTCCTCGAGGAAGTCTCAGGTTGCTACCGTCTGGTTGTCCGGAATGCTCCAGTTTAATGTGAATATAAGCTATGCTTGCAATTCAACGTTATTCCAAAACACAGGCAACTCCAAATACACACAATCACCAGTCCATCCGAATAGACAAATAAAGTATCCAAACATACACTTTGAATAATTTAAGCTACTATTTATTGTTATATCTCACCGGAATACTAAAGCAAATGGTTCGGTTTAAACAAAGCAGCATAGTGTTGAATTGAGAGGAGAAAACAGGTGTCAGGTGGTCGATATAAAAGCAGGCCTTTCATATCTTCACAAAAATTCCCGTGCATTGCTCATTTATTAGGCTAAAATGTTTTCGAAAGAGAAGAAATCGTTTGGAATTATGTTGTAAAAGTTAGCATTAAGAAAGTGTAGGTGGGAGGCACACACATACAAAATGCCAAATATTAAGACAGCCTCAATCTTCTCTTCGGAGTAGTCCTAACGACTCTCAGTTCACTCGTCTGCCTCGACAGCCACAAAGCAGACAGTTATTGAGAAACCCGCCACAAAACACCATCACCTGTGATTCCACCTTGTCCCATGTAAGAAGGTAGCAGATGCAACATTTGATTCATCAACGCTGCATCTCCCCACTTCCACTGACTCTGCTGCCGTTGAGCTCCATTTGTAGTGCGCATTGGGCAAGGCGAATGCACTCACTTCGTACTGCTCAAGCCCAAACGCGTTTCAGTCGCTGGCTGTAAGACCGCTGGCCCAAACCCAGCACTGGCTAACCAATTACAAGACTTAAGGTAGTTTTACGGAGCCAAAAGCTTCGCATCCACTCCACGCCTCCTCGTCAATGGGATCCCAGATTTCCTTGCCTCCCTAGCCATCTGCCCTTCTCCCCTCAATAGACATGATAGTGGTATCACACTTCCATGTAATTTGTGTCTTCGTATAGGCTTTTCCAAATTGTTCAACTTTCGCATTGCTTCAGCTATCAATACCCTACTTGTGAACCACGAAGTAGGAGTAATTAGGAAAGACAGAGGAGACTCGTATACCCCCTGTTAGAAGTTGCCGCATATGCACATCGACGACGACGACACAAACTGAGGCGGATATTCCTTTGCAGTAGAATCGAGTGCCATAGCCATGAATGTCGTGTCTCTGGCCTTCCTCGAGGTAGTAATAGGCTAATGTACATGGACGATCACATTATAGTAGCACATAGTGCGGATGGGTGGATACTAGCAGGCTGCGGAAGCACAGCCTGCAAAAGTGAAGTTGCCACGCAGAATAACATACGGATATAAAATCACTAGGCAAAAAAACATAAATAAAACTGAAGAAATTGCGTACAAACCACATCATCCTCATTAAAATTCATTGAAGTTAAAATGGGAGTAAGGATTTGAGATGAAAGACTGCATAACATTCGGGTAGAATATGCATTGTTAACATAGAGGCCGGCATGGAGGTAACGGTGTGGCCCAATAGCCAGGTTGCCCAGCAGGGATGAAATGGCAGAGTTTTTAATTGGCCCATCACTAAAACAGGAAGTTAAACAAACACTTAAAGTATCAGGTAGCCTCTCTCCCAATTTCGAGAGTCGTTGGCACCTCTACCCTTGACAAAACTCCCACTTCAGATATCATAACGTAGTCGGTGATGTGCGTAAAACACTCACCACCCATCCATGCCAGTCGGCAAATCTTCCAGCATCTGAGGAGATATTTAGTCACAACATCACTGAATCCTCTGGGAAATTCTACTGCATCTGCAGAAGCCTCCTGTAAGTGTTCTGTCTATCACGCGTCTTCATTGCGAGTTGTAGTAACATTGGCTTAAAAGCAGAGTCAAGTAACATAACACTGGGTGTAACATAGTTCCCTCATGATATGGTTTTGTGTTTCTTCGCACTCCAGCGCTTACCAGCCACATCTACCTGTGTTCCATAAAAGCTACCGGAGAGATGGAGGAGGTGTCGCCTGTTTGCTTAACTAATATCTTTATTGAGGTACGATAGACAACTGCGTAAAGAACTTCTTCAGATGAATCTCGGTTGGTGTCGCTTTAGATGTAAATATATTTCCTGCAGGAAACGAGACTGTGGTCGTTGACAGATAAAGACGCCATTTGCATATCTTTCACTGGTGCTCGTCATCGAATCTCCCACTGGCAACATTTGCACTACTTTCACCCAACCAACGTTTATCACCCAGCAGTACGTATGAAGGGCATGGGTGCTGCTAACATGTAGTAGAGGCAAGGTCGCCCAGCGGACCTACAATGGCGCAGCCGAGAAGCGGTCTGTCACCGAAATCGAGAGTTGGGCAAATGATTAAAGTAATTTGACATTTGTGGGTAAACTGACAAATAAAATGCAGCTTTTTTAATGTATGTCTGTTTGAATGCGTCTTTTAGGCAAAAAATGAGCTGTGAACCAATGTTGTGGCCGATAAAACCGCATTGAGCCCAGCAAAAGAGACAAACTTCAGTTT